TGGAAGGGTTGTAGGAGATTAACTATGGGTAGAGGGTTTGATGGAGATTTGGGTAGTATAACAATGGTTTCCCCAGTATGGACTTGGGAGAAACCCAGGCTCGCGTGGGCAGGAGCGCGTCCCTGAAGCAGATGTATCATCTATCAGGATTCTAGATGAGTGCATGTCTACCCGCTACCCTTTATCTTAGTGTCTAAAGCTACGGTTTCCTCGGAAGCGGTGTCTTTTAGCGGGCGTTGAAATATGGCGAGTGACATCACAAAAGCGGCCAGAAAAGTGCAAATGTCGAAGCTAAATTGGAAGGCATGTAAAAAGGCCCCCTGAAGAATTAATCAAAAGTAGGTGACAAATCCCGGCATTTTTAAAAATACATATACTCCGTTATTATCCAAGTAGGTAGCCATGGAATTTTGTTTTATGTTTAATAAAATTAAAACTCCCTATCAGAATCAGCTGCGAAGTACAGGTATGTCTAATTTGACTATTTGAGGTTAAACGTATGTACAATGTTGTCAGTGCTTTCACACTTTGTTTGCCACTAGACCTAATATGTTTGAATATCGGCGTCATGGATACGTATCAGTCAATTGTGATTTTTATTAAGCAAATATGCCGAAAATCATAAATTCAGATGCGAAAATGCAAATTTTAAAAGCCTACAGGCATTATAAAACAGACAGGCCAGACCTAAGGAAAGCGGAAATCTTAGCCCGGCTTAGTGACATTTGGGATGTGAGTATTTATGCATTGAACTTAACTTTCGATCTAATTTTGGGGTTTGTACTATTCTAGGTATCAGAGAAAACCATTGAAAGAATTATCCGGCTGGATACTTTTGAATTGAAACCTTTTGGCCCACGACCTAAAACTTATATTATATATAAAAATTTTTCATTTCGGGAAGATTTGCAACGACTGATTTGGAATTATCACTCGAAAAATGAACACTTTACTTTGGCTGACTTACTAAGGGACGCGCGGGAAAATTTTGATTTTGATAAGGGGAAAACCACTTTATATAACATTCTAAAATCAATGGATTATAAATACAAACACGTAAATGGACGTAAAATTCTCTATGAACAAAAATATGTTGTTGCATCCAAAATTACATTTTTGAGGAAATTCTTGCAATACCAAAATTCAAGTGAAAATATAACATTCGTGTATCTGGACGAAACTTGGATTTTTCAAAATGGATCCAGCGTCCGAAAATGGGTACACGATTCTGAAATTAAAAGTAATCCATCTAAAATTAAATCAGAAGGGAGCGTTTTACTGTTTTGCATGCGGGGTCTCGTTTTGGATTTTTGGAAGGGTGTAATCTATTACAAACTTCAAATAGTAACGAGGTAGAATCCATAATTTCAAACAGTTCCAAGATTGGGCTACTAGTTCAAAAGTTACAGCCCTTTGAATTTTTTTTCGAAATGGTTTCTAGTCTATAACTTTTGATTGATAAGTCGGATCGAAAAAGTACGAATTGATTTGGATTCTACGCACCCAAATTAATAAGAAAAAGTGTTTTCCCGAGAAATTTTGGTGTAGTCGATTTTTGGTAAAAAGGAAGGTTATACACTGCCTTTTTTTGAGCCCCGAAAAAAAATTGTCTCAGATCGACCCGGAAAAAAAATTTTCTTATAGACTGTGGCCTGTAGAATCACTAATTTCAAACAGTTCCAAGATTGGGCTACTAGTTCAAAAGTTACAGCCCTTTGAATTTTTTTTCGAAATTGGTTTCTAGTCTATAATTTTTGATTGAGAAGTCTGATCGAAAAAGTACGAATTGTTTTGGATTCTACGCACCAAAATTAATAAGAAAAAGTGTTTTCCCGAGAAATTTTGGTGCAGTCAATTTTTGGTAAAAAAGGAAGGTTATACACTGCCTTTTTTTGAGCCCCGAAAAAAAAATTGTCTCAGATCGACCCGGAAAAAAAATTTTCTTATAGAATGTGGCCTGTACAATCCATAATTTCAAACAGTTCCAAGATTGGGCTACTAGTTCAAAAGTTACAGCCCTTTGAATTTTCTTTCGAAATTGGTTTCTAGTCTACAACTTTTGATTGAGAAGTCTGATCGAAAAAGTACGAATTGATTTGGATTCTACGCACCAAAATTAATAAGAAAAAGTGTTTTCGCGAGAAATTTTGGTGTAGTCGATTTTTGGTAAAAAAGGAAGGTTATACACTGCCTTTTTTTGAGCCCCGAAAAAAAAAATTGTCTCAGATCGACCCGGAAAAAATTTTTCTTATAGAATGTGGCCTGTAGAATCCATAATTTCAAACAGTTCCAAGATTGGGCTACTATTTCAAAAGTTACAGGCCTTTGAATTTTCTTTCGAAATTGGTTTCTAGTCTATAACTTTTGATTGAGAAGTCTGATCGAAAAAGTACGAATTGATTTGGATTCTACGCACACAAATTAATAAGAAAAAGTGTTTTCCCGAGAAATTTTGGTGTAGTCAATTTTTGGAAAAGAGGAAGGTAATACACTGCCTTTTTTTGAGCCCCGAAAAAAAAATTATCTCAGATCGACCCGGAACAAAAATTTTCTTATAGAATGTGGCCTATAGAATCCATAATTTCAAACAGTTCGAAGATTGGGCTACTAGTTCAAAAGTTACAGCCCTTTGAATTTTTTTTCGAAATTGGTTTCTAGTCTATAACTTTTGATTAAGAAGTCTGATCGAAAAAGTACAAATTGTTTTGGATTCTACGCACCAAAATTAATAAGAAAAAGTGTTTTCCCGAGAAATTTTGGTGTAGTCGATTTTTGGTAAAAAAGGAAGGTTGTAGTAGGTAGGTACACTGCCTTTTTTTGAAGCCCGAAAAAAATTGTCTCAGATCGACCCGGAAAAACATTTTCTTATAGAATGTGGCCTGTAGAATCCATAATTTCAAACAGTTCCAAGATTGGGCTACTAGTTCAAAAGTTACAGCCCTTTGAATTTTCTTTCGAAATTGGTTTCTAGTCTATAACTTTTGATTGAGAAGTCTGATCGAAAAAGTACGAATTGTTTTGGATTCTACGCACCAAAATTAATAAGAAAAAGTGTTTTCCCGAGAAATTTTGGTGCAGTCGATTTTTGGAAAAAAGGAAGGTTATACACTGCTTTTTTTGGCCCCGAAAAAAAAATTGTCTCAGATCGACCCGGAAAAAAATTTTCTTATAGAATGTGGCCTGTAGAATCCATAATTTCAAACAGTTCCAAGATTGGGCTACTAGTTCAAAAGTTACAGCCCTTTGAATTTTCTTTCGAAATTGGTTTCTAGTCTATAACTTTTGATTGAGAAGTCTGATCGAAAAAGTACGAATTGTTTTGGATTCTACGCACCAAAATTAATAAGAAAAAGTGTTTTCCCGAGAAATTTTGGTGTAGTCGATTTTTGGTAAAAAAGGAAGGTTATACACTGCCTTTTTTTGAGGCCGAAAAAAAAATTGTCTCAGATCGACCCGGAAAAAAAATTTTCTTATAGAATGTGGCCTGTAGAATCCATAATTTCAAACAGTTCCAAGATTGGGCTACTAGTTCAAAAGTTACAGCCCTTTGAATTTTCTTTCGAAATTGGTTTCTAGTCTATAACTTTTGATTGAGAAGTCTGATCGAAAAAGTACGAATTGATTTGGATTCTACGCACCCAAATTAATAAGAAAAAGTGTTTTCCCGAGAAATTTTGGTGTAGTCGATTTTTGGTAAAAAAGGAAGGTTATAGGTACACTGCCTTTTTTTTGTCTCAGATCGACCGGGAAAAAACATTTTCTTATAGAACGTGGCCTGTAGAATCCATAATTTCAAACAGTTCCAAGATTAGGCAGGTGGTTAATCAATTACTTCCATCACGCAGCTGCTCTAAGACTAAAAGGTTCCCCAAAGAATAGGAAGCTATATCCGCCGTAAATAAGAATAACATAAATGCACTAATCATCAAACGGCACAGACGGAAAACAAAAGACCCAAGGGAGAACATTCCAATGGCACCGTAGAAGCAAGAACTACACTCAAGCGCAGTTAGGTATCTAGCTATTACTAAGCATATTATTGTAAATATATAACAGCCTTTTGATATTAATAATGTTCATTAGAGCCATTTGTCTACTCAATAAAGTATGAAACGTATTGAGCAAGTTGTTTCTAATGAAATTTATACATATTAACCTATAACAAAATTACCTCAAAATCCAAAACTAAATCTGGCAACTAGGTTTTGCACATTGACAGGAAATTATCATTTTTTATAGGTAAAATGGACATAACCTAATGAGTGACAGCACATATACACAGTGAATTTCATCACCCTAACATGGCCTACAACTTGGACAATAACTATTGAACGGAGTATACTAGGCAGTAATAATTTTAATTATACAGGGTTGCTCATAAAAATGCAGCACACCAAAATTGCATTTTTTTAAATGATTCAATATTTCAACTCCCAATTTCAACCATAATGTAATTACCTAAATTAAGTCGTTTCCGCGTTATCGAGTTTTGAAAATAAACGCTATTATTTTAAAATTCATTAATAATTGAACAAAAAACAATATTTAATGATTCCAAACAATCATAACAAACTTCCCAAACGGTTCTTTATAGAACCACAGAATGTTTTCAAATGAAATTCGTGGTGTCATTAATTATTGTTCCTTCTTCAATAGATTTTAAAACAATATCTTTTATCTTCAACCATTATGTTTCTTACAAATTATGGTCAAAATTGAGAGAAAAATTGAAATAATAAATAATATATAGGGTGTTCCATTAAAAAAATGCAATATTGGTGTGCCACGCCTTTATGATCAACTTTGTATAATTATAATTACTATTGCCTAGTAGAAATTAAAGAACCTCAAAACTTTGTTTGATACCATGTATATTTTCCCCCATAATCGAACGTTGTCAAACTTTTCAGGGACCCTGTATATCACAAAACTAGGTTCAAAAATGTTTGACACAATTCACTGGAGTGAATACACAATTTGACATGGGCAAGTGAACGTTCAATGTACGTCCATCTCTCTATTTCTCCGATTTTTCTGTATGCAAAATAGCAAAAGCTAGTAGTAGTCACGGTGGTAGAATAATTATTGCCGAGGGACGTTTAATATGATCATCATTTACATAAAATTTGAGGTGACCTTTATCCCCCATCAGAGATTAAGTTATTTATCAACCTTAGAACAAAGCTGTATCTAAAGAATTCCACACAGAAGTTATGAAATACTTACAACAATAATATTTACTTGAAAAAATTACTACTAATACATCACCAGCTTCACATCATAAATAAATAAAGTCTAGGTAATAGTTAAACTTAAAAATTGATCAAGCAGCAAACTTCCTCATTGTAGCAACCAATCAAATCGTATCTAATTAACGCAGGGTGACATGAGTAGGTGCACTCGGCTACATCGTCACATCGACCATCCTCTTCGTTGGCGACTTTAATGGCAGAATGTCACTAACGCTAGCGATCAAAGAATGTATACTCACATGCTAGCAAAACGGCTAAGGCGAACAGGACCACCAGGTAGACGAGAATGTGTGATCTTGCCATATTTTGATTAATCAAAAATCCATTATAACTTCCTTGGAACGATCCACAACAGCGTAGTTGGACTAAGCGAGCTATTAAACTGACGACCGAGGTCGCGTTTGGTGTGTGACCTTTGGTTAACAATCTCCAATTTTTGTTGGTGAACAAACATGATTAATCGCTTACACAGATAGAGATAATTCGTTCCGAAAAAAGTGTCAAGTTTTCTAGGGCAGAAGTTGAGGCGAATGTAGGTCGCGATGATTCCCATCGTAAACATCTTATACAATGTGCTGGAGAACTTTGATCCCCCTCAAAACTTATATCGCAACTATGTGGATTAGGCTAGGTCGTAAAGATTATACTAGTCAATTGCACAGTAACGATAGATGGTGGTGTCAAAGAGGCGTAAGTCGCAAAGTAAGGAGTAATTTCCCACGGTGGCCCAAAAACCAATTAGATAGAGCCAAAAGCCATGGTGGCATCACGAAATTTATACCGACGACCAACTGCGCAACAGATGACAAAGAACAGATTCCGAAATGGAACATATTCACGACTATTAATAGGTGGATCCAAAAAACCCTCGTGGTCTGACTTAGTCTCATTTAAGAATCTTGTGGTGGATCACATTCTCGTCGCAAAAAAAGGCGATGGCCAGGAAGCGTTGTAAAACCTCAGGAATCTTGAAGCCGAATGCGGCGACCAGTGAACCTTTAGAGGACCGTCTGTCGTATCACGTCCTGCGCGTCTCTGAAGGTGCAGGTGCACGCAGGAACCAAAGTGCCGTGCTACCGTACGAAACGGATAGGTACCAGAGAAAATTTTCTGGTTTCAGGACGGGTCTCTGAGGGACTATCTTACTCACGGAGGAGCGTCCTCTTCGCATTCGGTGCGTATGAGGAATCCTAGTAGATGATACAGCGGCAGTCGCGGGCTCTCACACGTCACATTTCTGACAAAAGCAAGGGCTGCGGTTGCACCCGGAAAGAGTGAGAGATCCTCCGGGGCACAGTTGCGCTACGAGGGATGTGGATCAAGCCCTCGGCATCGAATTAAGGGTGGTCAGGTTTGGTACTTGCGCCTATAGAGGCTGATCAAGATGCCGACGAGCTCCTGGCTCATGTGGAGGTTTTGGTCTCCTACCAGAGGAAGAGGAACCTTGCTCATTGGCATTGATGGATAATGTAACCTTTTTGAACAGAAATGTACAGCACAGACACGTCAACCAGGCAGGCGTGTGCCCCATACAAGGACCCCTAGGTATAGACGGGGCGGGCCCTTTATTAGAAGAGTGGCAGTCAACTGAAACCTAAGACGGATAGATGAATTGAGTCTTATTCACTGATTGATCTCTGTTTCAGGGATCTCGTAACTCTAAGACTTCTGCTGAAGGATGGCGCAGGACGTAGCAGGTTCGATCGATGTCTTTTACCGAACACAGAGTCCTTAGGGTTAAACGTTTTGTGTAAAAATGTACATGGGGGGGGGGGGGGGTCTGGGGGGTATTCCCCAGCGAACAGAAGGTATTATACATGTCTAAGAAAATGAACATTGATTTCTTCTTATTTTCTGGGGGGAAACCCCCCGGTTGTACATCTTCCCACGATATATTTGGTGTTTTTGCCACTTGTACCATAATTTTTAGAAAAATTTGGCGTCCTTTACCAAAAACTATATCAAAGTCCTTACGGGTCCCCCAGCGACCCGAAGATCTTATTCTATGTGTAAGGAAATGAACATTGAATTTTTCTGTTTTCTGGGAGGTATTCCACATCGCCCAAACCACCCGGTTCTAGATCCTCCTACGAAATATTTGGTGCTTTGGGTGTCCTTTACCAAAAACTAAATCAGAGTACTTAGGGGTAAACGTTTTGAGAATGAGCCAGGGGGTCTGTCAACACATTACGCCCATTTATTGACAGTTCAGAACGACCCCCGCTCTTATGCTGAAGGTGAATCCAAAAGGGCGCACGAGTTGGCTCGCTACCTACAGGTGTATTTGTCGAGCCCGAGGAATTGCCCTCTCCAGAGTCAGGACCATCAATTCCAGGCGTAATGACGACAAACAACTGGATAAAACAGTCCAGGTCCTTTTTAACGAAACAAGTTTGTCTACAAGTTAAACCAAATATTGGCTTCTGTGGGGTTTCTTCTCCTCTGTATCCCTTGAAGCTCTTGTGGCTCTTGCAGCTTCTGAATGTACTGAAGCCTTCTGGAACTTCTCTACCTCCTGTATCTTTTGAAACCAGTTTCCGTAGTTCCTGAAAATATTGCCGACCTCGTAATTTCTACCATTTTTGTGGTTTCTGAAGCTTATGATTACTCCTATAGTTACAGTAGTTCCCGAGAGTCCTGTGGCGCCTATAGCTTCTAATTCTGTACTTACCTCAGAGGTAAAGTATACTAAGTCACAAATTCAAAAGTTTACAGAAAATCACATTATAAGAAGCACAAAGGAATAATTTGACCTTATTAACCTATACATTTGATTACTTTCATCATGAAGAACCATGTTACTTATAACTAGTAAGTTTACATATGTACGGTCGAATTTTTTAAATTTTATCAAAAATTTTTGTTTTACGGGACTGTTTACCTCTTATGAATTGTTTCGAATGATGGACTTATTATTGTTATGTGTAAACCAATTTTAATACATTTCTGCTCGAAAAGGGGAAGCAAGCATGTTTCATCATGTACAGGGCGTGGAGAATTTTTTTCCTGTATGAAATCACAACTCAGATTAGAAAAAAAATCTATTTATTTGATAAACAACTTATAATTCAATAATTTTATTGAAATTAAAAAATACATCAATACTGTTCAACTATTCATCTTCGTTGTTATAAGAGAGAAATGGTCATCAATTTCGTCCATAAACGATAAGAAACAAGTATAAATTTTTTGAGGATTAAAGCAGATTTTTAATAAGACACTTAAATTGAAAAATGACAGCCATAAATGGGATATTATAAAAATAATAAATAAACAAGTATAAATTGTGCACAACCCTTGTGCAGATAAAGCGCATTTTTGTTTAACCGATATAGCTTAGTAAATGGTTGGGTTATAAGGGGAGGAGGCTCTTTACACACAAACATTTAAAGACCGCCTGGCATACACTCAAAATTCTCCGAGACTCCATTCTGCAGATTTTTCCTACCTATGAGAGTACGTTCCTCCGACAAACCGTTTTCGAGATATTCGCTCTTAAAGTTTTGACATCACGAATGGATATATTTCTTGCAGATGTTCCAATCGCCCTTTGCGAGTCCCCACTTCCGATAATCCGTCCTGGAGATATAAGGGAATATATCCGAACACGATAAGAAGTCGAGGAGGAGGACTATGGTTGATAGAAATTAATTCCTTTCGTTGAGACCTTTCATTAGGGCACCATGAAGGATAAAACCAGTTCCACTCCCATCTCAGGAAATAATTGATGGGGGGGGGGGCCCTTTAAGACATCGAAATTTGATGGCCATTTGGAACACCTTCAAGGTATAAGGCCTACCTACTGCAAAAATTCCTGGACTCTAGAAGTAGTTCGAAACGGCAGAAGTGGGTCCGGACGGACGGACGGACAGACGGACAAAGGAAGGGCATGCAATCCCGCAGCAAAATCTCAATCCCGGTATTTGCGGGATTGTTAGATGTTAATCCCGCGGGATCCCGGTATTTGCGGGATGCCGCAAAACTTTAAATAAATTTGCAAATAAGCAATTCTGTGCGGTTAACTTCTGTATCAAAATAAATCGCTAATTACCACAATAGTTAACAAAAAAGTACCATCGGCCTAACTTAGAACTCAAAAAAACCTCACCTGTAAAGCACAAAAAGGTGAACTTCTAAAGTGACTCAAAAATCATAGTATATTTTTAACGAAAAATGTTTAACAATTATTTAAAAAATAACTTCTCCGTTATGCGTTTCATTAACAAAGTAAACAGAGTCGTCCCCTTGGTCGACAAATTCCTCAGTCCCGCAAATCCCGCGGGATCCCGCTCCATTTATGTGCGGGATTAATCCCGCAAAAATGCTGGGGGATCCCGGTATTTCGGGATCCCGCGAGCCCGGTATTGCATTCCCCAGGTACACTATAGCTGTACCTAGGGAATGCAATGCTTATTTTTAGATTTACACGATAATTACTCACCTAAATGTAATGCTATTTGGTATGGTTGGAAAGCATTTTTTCAGAGCTTTCCAACGACGTATCACACCTGGGGGGTCACTATTTAACATTTAAAAGTTGGGGTGGCTGGGGCGCAGGGGGTGTGAGGGGGTGCGTCGCCAACTATGTCATTCTGATTCCCCCACCGAATTACCGAAACGGATTTTGATTTTTTTAAATATCTCGTTTATTTACTAAGATATGGGGGGTGGTAAGTTTTCAAATTGTCACCCTGTATGAATGTATCTCAGGTACCTGAAAGTATCTTTAGATACCGTAAAGATGTTTGAAGTATCTAAAAACTTCGAAAGTATCTAAGATACTTTGGAGTATTTAAGATACTTTGATGTATTTAAGATACTTTACAGTATATAAGTTTAGAGTAAATTTCGGCATTTTTTGATATTTATTGTGATTGTGATCACTTAAGAAATATGTTTATTATACCTCAAAATCAAACGAAATTGATTATAGTATGGATACGCTTTACTATTAGTCCAGGAAACGAAACTTAAAATAGTATAAAACCTGGCAATTTTTTCTAAATGCATCGATTTGCATTTTTTAGGGGTGAAAACTACCCCTCTTTGCCAAAACCCATAAAACTACATATTAAAACTTAATGTGGGTAAAATTTGGTTCAGATGAGTTGAGTAATGATTGTTAGAGGCTTTGGAACATTATTTCAGGATATTTCAACCCTTATTGTGGTTTAATAAAAAAAGAAGTATTTACCTCCAAAAAGTTAATAATCTGTAATTGACGACATTTGTTCAGTGTGCATTTTGTTTGAACAAAGTATGGTTTTCAACCTCCTGATGGATGGTGTATCAAACGGTGATGTAAACATTAAACAGTTCATAGAGAAGGAGTGTTGGTGTATTTGTGCAAAGGGAGAAGTTCCGGATAGCCGCGCATATATAATCGTATCGATATATCTCGAGTGGGGTCATATTGAACACCTGTGAATCTATTTTTGCAAAAAAACTTAGTTTAATACTCTTCATTTTGATATAACCCATGGTTCTATTTTGTTTCTTTAATTAAAATTCAGATTTTTAAGGTAGTGATATTCTTTTTGAATCGCCCTGTATATACATTACA